TAATGGCTTAGAAGTGAAAACAACATTTTTGGATTTGAAAGCAGGTTTTGCAAATTTTCCTTTCTGACATGCTTCACACAGAGCATCTAAGTTGAACTTCAAGTTAGGAAGTCCTCTGACCAGATTGAGTTTGTTAATCTGAGATATTCTTCTCATACTAACATGTCCCAATCTTCTGTGCCAGATCCATTGCTCGTTATTAACAGACAATAGACATTTTACATTCTGACTCTTTAGTTCAGAAAGTTTTATTTTATAAATGTTGTTTTTCCTCTTTCCATTAAATAGGATAGTCCCATCTTTCTGATTAACAGCTTTGTATGAATTTTGATTAAAGATTATATCATAATCATTATCACTTAATTGACTTATGGATAACAGGTCATGCATTAATCTATCAACTAATAAAACATTACTTATAGAGGGAAGATTTCCATTACCTACTATTCCAGAGCCAATGATCTTTCCTCTCTGATTGCCTCCAAAGCCCACGTGGCCTCCAGGCTTAAGTTCTAGGCTTTGGAACATATGCCTTCTTCCCGTCATGTGTCGTGAGCAGCCAGAGTCCAGGTACCATGATTGGTGTCTTAGCCTTACTGCTAAAGATATCTACCACATGTATGATTTTATCCTTAGGTACCCATATTTTCTTGGGTCCTGATTTGTTAGTTTCACCAAAATTCTGGTTGAATTTTGGTTTGACAGAATAATCACTACTTGTGTATTTTATGTCATGTGTGTGCCCATATATAAAATGTGAATTGAGTGGTGTGCGTTTTATAACTAAGTCCATGACATTTTTTGGTGTAGGTACCTTACCTTGATATCCTATCCCTTTTCTGCCATTTCTGCTAACTCCATAGATCATTGAAGCCATCTTGCTTTTGTCTATGTTTTTAGCTAGAAACTTCTGAAAGCTGTGATCATACTCTTTGATGATCTCATCAGCATTGCTGGGAGTTTCATAGAATGTTTCCTTTAGAGAGTTTTGCAAATTATTTCCTAATTTTGAAATTTTTTCTCTTAACTCAGAATTCTCCAATCTGAGACTCTCAGTCTTTTTAGAGTCAGAGGCAAGATTCCTTTTCAGGTTTCTGAATTTGACTCTGATCTGCTGATACCTTTCCAGAATTTCATTTAGACTTTCAGCAAGTTCAGCCTTAGTAAGGTTTATGGTAAAGTCAGGGAATACCTCTTCAGTGTCTGATTCTGAGTCTGAACTAGAAGTTTCACTGTCTTCTGATACGTTTGCCATGAGGCTTTTCTTCTTTTCCTTGAGAAACTTCTTTTTGGGCTTTTCCTTCTAAAGCTTTGGGCAGTCACTTTTGTAGTGCCCTTGCTCATTACATTCATAGCAGATGATATCCTTGTTGTTTGGCTTTCTGTATCCTGAGGAACCTTCAGATCTTTTGTGTCCAGAGGAGGACTCAGACTTTCTGTATCCGGAGGAGGACTCATTCTGATTTTCTGATCTTCTGGGATTTCTGAACTTCCTCTGTCTTTGCTTCCACAATTGGTTCACCCTTCTGGAGAGGAGAGACAGTTCATCTTCTTCTGAGCAGGTTCCATCAGAAGTTTCTTACATAGCCTGCAAAACCTTGGAGTCATATTTTCTGTTAGATTTTAAAGCTAATGGCTTACCTTGCTTTTGAGGCTCATCTTCTTCTAGCTTTATCTCATGACTTCTGAGGGAGCTAACAAGTTCCTCCAGAGAGATTTTGTTGAGATCTTTGGCTAGCTTAAGTGATGTGACCATTGGCCTCCATTGTTTGGGAAAGCTTCTGATGATCTTCTTAACTTGATCAACAGTAAAAGTTCTTTGTCAAGAACTTTTAGTCCAGCAACAAGAATTTGAAATCTTGAAAACATAATTTCTATTGATTCACTATCTTCCATCTTGAATGCCTCATACTTCTGAATGAGCGCAAGGGCCTTGGTTTCTTTGACTTGAATGTTGCCTTCATGCGTCATTGTCAGAGAGTCAAACATATTCTTGGCAGTTTCTCTGTTTGATATTTTCTCATATTCTGAATATGAGATGGCGCTGAGGAGAATTATTCTGGCCTTGTGGTGGTTTCTGAATTCACGCTTTTGCTGATCATACATCATTTTCCTGTCTATCTTCTGACCACGTCTATCCACAGGATGTGTGTATCCATCAATCACCATGTCCCACAAATTAGCATCATGAGCCAGAAAGAAACTCTCAATTCTGTCTTTCCAGTAGTCAAAGTTTTCTCCATCAAAGACTGGAGGTTTACCACTGAATCTATCCTTGTCTTCATTGTTGTCATTGCTGATGTTTTGGCTTGGTCCCACCATAGTGTTTTTCTGATGCTTGGATCTTGTACTGACACGGTTAAGTGTTTAAGCTCAGAACCAGGCGCTCTGATGCCAATTGAAGATGTGAAAAACACAAGAAGGGGGGGTTGAATTGAAAACTTGGATCTAAAAAGCTTAATGACACAGTATTTTTATCCTGATTTATTTGATCTCAAACTACTCCAGTCCATCCGTCAAGGTGATTTCGCCTCTCTCCAACGAGGTCTTAATCCACTAATCTCAACAAGATTACAAAAGCTACTTTAACAACTGTTAAAGTCTTCTTGAGTACAACCATAATCCGGTTAATCTCAAGGATCTCTTTTTCAATATGATTATACAATATGTGTTGTTGTTTTTCTAACAAAAACGGTTTATCGCAACTGTGATAAATTACACAGGTTTATAGCTTAGAATAAAGAATGAAATTGCTTGCAGTTTGAATATGTGTGAGTGGTGATCTAGCAAAATCGTTGTGTGTACGTGCGTTTCATTTTGATAGATGACTCGTTTATATAGGCAGTGTAATGACGTTGATCATAAAGCATGTTTAATGTCATTAACATACTTTCCTTTTGGAGAAGATCCTGTCTGAAGGAAGCCGTTGGAATTGATGTTGTCTTGAATGTTCAGTAACACTTCAGAATCTTTTCTCCTTACTGCTGATGACGCTTCGGAATATTCATGACTTGGTTTGATATGTTCTTGTTCAAAGTCAGAGTTTACTTTGATTAAGCGCAGATTCTGGTCATCAATCTTCAGCGTATGTTCTGATTGCTTCAGCGTGAAGCACTTATGGCTTATCTTCTGATGCCGATTTGATCAGAACTTCTGCATACATAAAACATATTTTTAAGTAGCATATTTGTTCTTTGTATTTAATTATTCTTTGTATTTGTTATCATCAAAACTCTAACCAAGGGCTGTAGAATCAAACTGTGTTCTAACATAATTGAATCGATGAATGGGGTATTCAAAGGCATACGAAACCTCCCGGTCACTGCTTTGGTAAAATCAACATATTTTAGGATGGCTTCGTTGTTTTCCAAAATGGGTGAAATATGGAATGCGCTATTGCAATCTGGACAACTATGGAGTGAAAGCTGCATGAAGTACATTAAGGCAGAAAGTGCCAAAGCCAACACCCATATGGTTATACGATTTGACCGACACAGCCACAACTTCATTGTCAAAGAGACAATCGACCACAACGAGGGCCTGCCAAGACAAGAATATAGGGTTGTACTACCTTCTCGTTGGTGCGATTGTGGCAAGTTTCAAGTCTTTCGTATGCATTGCTCTCATGTCATTTTCGCGTGTGCCTATCCTCATCAAGACGCGCTACAACTTCTGTCACACGTTTACAAATCTTAAACGTTGCTCAACGTTTACAACAACAGCTTCCCTTTGGTAGAAAAACCAGATTTTTGGCCTGCATACAACGACGAAATAGTATGGCACAATGACCAGATGCGAAGGAATAAAAAGGGTCGTCCCAAAAGTAAGCGCATCACAACCCGAATGGACTCCCTTGACAAGCTGGAAAGAAAGTGTGGTTTATGTCGTCAGGTCGGACACAATCGCAAAAATTGTCTGAATCGAGCTACTGCCTCAACCACATAAAAATTGTATTACATAAAATCTTTCCTTTATTATGTTGTAAACATTAAGGTTTTTTGTTAACAGTATTTGTTACAATAAACAATGCGCGAATAAGGAAAAAAATGATAATCCGTCTACGAAATTACAATTGTTAAAACAACATCATCTGACCCATGCATCATCAACATTACATCGCTGTCTGTTTTGACTTTCTCCAACCAAACATTAGGTCTTCCTGTCGCAAGTGAGGTTGTTGTTCGTCTTCGCTGGATCCTTTTAATTTTCCCCCCCTCCACGATGTCTCCATCTAGCCATCGCATCAACTCCCGCTTCAGATGCTCCATGGAGTGAATGTGCCGGAATTTCATTTTTATCAGAGGTTTCGTGGCGGAGAAGATAACGTAACCATCTTTGGTAAAAATCATGGGCGATGTCATGACGCAAATAACAAAGTAAAAAATAAGAAAACAATGCGAGAAAGTGTGAGAAATGACGGAGAAACTGACGAATTATTTATAAAAACAACATTTTACCCTAGGAGCCAAGTGAGATGACGCCTCCTCTCACTTTTAAAGTGCATGCGCCATCTCACTTGACTAAAAGAGAGAAGAGGCGCCAAGTGAGATGGCGCCTAGGACATATTGTTTAGTGGAGGCGCCAAGTGAGATGGCTCCTCCTTTGGAGAGTCATCTAAAACATAATTATTTGCGTAATTTTTTCCGAAATATAATTATTTGCGAAACTTTTTTTTAAAACATAATTATTTCAAAAAAAAAATTCGAATTTGATCTTCTACATGATTAAAATTTTTATGACTGAAAACATTTTATGAAACATAAGTATAACCTATCTCATAAACAAGTTTTCTAGTAGAAATTTAATTTCCATAATGTACCACATGTCACCACCTAAGAATGTGTTCAACCTTGCTCATGCACACTTGTCACTTAATTATACAAATAACCAGCCACGCATCACAGTCCCCTCAGCCTATAAATCCACCCCTTTGTGACCACTCTCAAATGACAGAAACCACTTGAACTAATCAGTTGCATGTAATTTAAACAATTATCACCATGGCCAAAAGCAAAGATGATATAAAATATGGAACAGCACAAGCAAAACTATCACCAGATGAAGCAGTGAGAGTAGTATACAAGCATGGTACACCACTTGAAGGAGGAAAGATATCTGATTCCGAAAAAGTTGATTTGTTTTCGAGTGCACAAAATATTCCAAAGCGTGACCAACAACAACAAAGTTCAGATTCTAATCAGTCTCAGTTGCAACGTGATGATACAACAGGAGGAGGAGATTCTACTGATTTCACTACTGGAGCTCCTTGCTTGCCTGAGAAGAATAAACCTCCAACACTTGCTCATAAATTTTGATGATAAAATAAGAAAGAGAAATGTTGGTTATAATGTGGTCTATGTATATTAATTTTAACTTGTGTGGCAATGCTGAAAACTTTTATAATACTCCTTAACCTTCTGTTGTGTTCCTTCACGATATTGCAAGAGGATAATTGATTACCATATGTTGTTTTGTTTTTTGAAAAAGCAATTCACCTAAGAAATTATAAGGGCAAATATGTATCGTTTTATTTTTAAGATGTTTTATTATTTAAAGTTGTGCCATTAAATCAACCACTGTGTCTCTGAATAAAACAAATTTAATTTAATTATCTTCGGTTTAAAATGTTGCGTTTTATTATTTTTAAAGTTGTCGTTAGATGTTCGTAATAATTTTTAAACAATCTTAGAAAAATTCAAAGAGAAATTGACATTTCGACTAATCGAAAGTAATATCAGACTAATGAATATTTTTAACTAACACATAAACTGACGAATTTTTTTAAATTCATCTTCCTAGTGAAATATTGTATGTTCTATAACAATTTTCTACTTGATTTAAAAAAGTGTTATACACTTGAATTTTTATGTAACAAATATGATTTTAATCTTGAATTATATCTCAGACATTAAACTTGTACAATATTTTTTTTTAAGGGTGTAATCTAAGAAGCTCGTGCGCTTTAATCGCTCTACGCATGTGTATTTTAGTATAGTGAAGGTTTTAGAAATTTTATATTGATATTTTATTGGAATCGACTTAAGTTCTACAATCACACAGGTGAGTCTATCAAGAATACTTTTAGATTCTTTTTTATACAGAGTATAGATTTTATTAAGAATTTTTATCATTTCATTCTCTTTTAGCTTTAGGATTCATGGTTCTCTTGTTTATACTAGTATGATCATCTCATATTACTCACAATTTGTTATTATCCATTGAATTTATTTCTTGGGATCTCCAGTCTATTAGATTTGGTTACCATCACGAACAACTCATTTCTCTATAATACTAGTCTCTTTTTTAATGTATTATAGACTTTCTCTCTAGCTAATCATTTGTCAAAGGATCTGTTAAATTTTGATCAGTGTGTACATGATCTACTCTTACTCTTTTAGATATATAGTCTCTAAGAATGTTGTGCTTCTTTATATTTGATGTCTCTTTCATTATAACAATGCTTCTCAATTTTTTCAATAGTCGTGGTACTATCGCAGTGGATTAACACAATTGATATAGGTTTTTCCGATAAGAGGATCTCATCTAGAAAGTTTCTTAATCAACTTGCTTCTTCACTAGCAGTTGTTAATGCTATCATTTCAAACTCCATTGTGGACTGGACAAAAATAGTCTGTTTCTTTGATTTCCAAAATACAACTCTTCTAACTATACTAAATATATAAACATTTGTTGTTTTAGAATCATCTGATAAGGTATTTCAATCTACATTAGTGTATCCTTCGAGTACAATAGAAAATATATGATAATGTAACTCAAGATTCATGGTCCTCTTATGACTCTTTCAATGACTTACCAATGCTCATTGTTCGGTATACTTGTAAATATACATAACAATCCTACGACATATGCAATGTTGGATCTAGTACAATTAGTGATAAGCTTAAGACTGCCAGTGATGCTCACATACTCATTTTGTCTAACATTATCATCAGTGTTCTTAAACAGTTTTATTCTTGAATTGTATGGTGTGCAAGCAGGTTTACAATCAAAGTAGTTATATTCTTTAAGATCTTCTCCACATAATGAGATTGATTCAAATAACTTTCTTGTTTGGATCTAGAGATCTTGATACCAAGAATCACATTGGTTTCTCTCAAGTCTTGCATATCAAAGTTGTAGCACAAGAATGAATTCACATCATTAACTATATGAATGTTTGATCCAAATATGAGTAAGTAATTTATATATAGATATATGATAGTGAAAATGTCATTTTCATATTTTTAATAAACGTTATTGTCATTTTCTTTCATTTTGTACCCATTCAATATCATTAGGTTATCAAATTTTTCATGTCATTACTTTGGAGCTTGTTTTAGACCATATAAAGACCTATCTAACTTACAATCCTTATTTTTCCCCTTAAATCACAAACTCTTCTGGTTAATCCATATAGATTTCTTCTTCTAATTCATCATTTAAAAAAGGTTCTGACAACTAGGAGGAAAATTTACTAAGTGTCAGATCCTGTTAAATTCTAAAGATTTTATCTTATCGTTAATAGCTTCTTGCCACAAATCTACATTTAGAGATGAGAAGGCTTCTTAAATATTTGTTGGATTTTCTTCTATTGTATAGGATGCATAATATGGCCCATAATCTTTAGCAACTCTTACTCTTTTACTTAGTCAAAGTTTTGTTTCTACTTCGTTGTTGCTTTCAGTGCTTCTTATCACAAGAATGTAATTCAATTCAGTGTCCCGGTTTTTTCAGGATTTGAAAGAAAATTTGTCTTTATAAAATTCAACACCATTTGATTCTATGATCACTTTATCATTTATGTCATAACACTTATATGCATTATTATTTGTCGCATACCTAATAAATACACATTCTTAGACTCTACTAGCGACTTTAACTCGCTTCGGATATAGAATTATGACATAAACCAAACAATTCTGAGTTATAAAGAAAGACAAGTTTGGTTGTCTTTTCTTCTATATCTCATAAAGAGAGATCTTATTTTTATACTTTGGAACTCTATTCAGGATATAACAAACACTCAATAAATTTTTCACTGCCAGTAAGATGCAACACCAAAATTCAACATGATAGCAACAACTAATTTAGTGAGAGCTCTACTCTTTCTTTCTGTTTTACTATTCATTTGAGGAGAATATGGGTTAGTCATTTCATGTAAAATTTCATGTTTTTATATAATTCATTAAATTAATTTGAACCATATTCAGTTCCCCTATCACTATGATGTCTCTTAATCTTCTTACTAAATTTATTTTTAATTTTATTCATAAAAATCTTAAGCATATCAATTTTATTCACAAAAATATCATTCTTAGTGATTTAATAAAAATTAACCACAATATATTGGCTAAATCATGTCTTATTCAGAAGAAAACTACAAACAAGATTCTTTATAATTTCAGAAGTATGCATGACATCCGTAAAGATTAAAGTTTTTTCGGAGATAGATTTCAGCTCCACTTCTCCAATATCGGCAACCTTAATAGTGTGGGCAACTCCCAACAACACTTAATTATTTGTATATGTTTTGAATATTCCACGATCATAATAGACATGAAGAAATGAGCCAATATCTATCCACCAATAATCAAATTCACCAATCATATTGATGTTAGTAATCGGATAAATAAATTTCTTATTAGTTAGATTAACATGTGCATTAGAGGCAACAAAAAGTTTAAGTTTGATCTTATATTTCTTAATCATATGACTTTATTTTCCACAATTGAAGCAAGAGAAAACATCAGTGTCGTTTATTTGTGGTGGTGCTTGTTGCCTATCAATTGGAGTAATTAAGGCCCTAGAAGGGTTCCAGTTCTTAATTTGGTTCACAATATTATTGTTCTGATTCTTTAATCATTTGCCAAATAGCTTCAAAACTACACTGAATTCTTTTGTTGTTTGAAACAACCAAGAACCTTTCTTTTTTATTGTGTCTCTGAGATTTATCTTCAATTCGAAGGCAAATAATCAGACTTTCAATTAATTTTTTATTGTTTTGTGGCAAAATAATTTTTTAACTTTCAAACTAGGGGCAGTTTGTTAATAATAAAAGCAATTTAAAATTGTTCATCAAAATACATATCTTCGGTGATGATCTCATAATTAATCTTTTGAAGTTCGTAACATTAGGCCTCCATAGACCTTTCATTTATATCATCTAATACTTTAGGTAGTGACTAACGACATACTTTGTTGCTCTAACTTATTCAGTATCATACTTCATTTAAGTGCCTCCCAAACCTATTTTGAAATATTATAACTATTGTAATAATCATACAGATTATCTGCGAGTCATTCAGAATATGATTTGCTAGAGATAATCATTCTCTTTCCATAAGGTGATTTATTCCGTGAGTTCTAAATCGTTTGCTTTAATCTGTGTAGCAAATTCAGCTTCAACACTATTAAGTGTTCCATCTAAGTTCACATATTTCTTTCTGTTAGTTTGATCAGTTGATCTGAATGGACAATAGGAATTTCATCTATCAAAATATTGGCAACCTTTTTTATGGATAAGGAAAATCTCGAATTTTATTGCCAGTATTTGAAGTGACTTCTCTCAAACTTGAACAGTTTGTCAGAGACAACAACGACAAAAGTACCAATAATTTCTTTGGTAGTCATGGCAATTCGAAACATCATGCAAATATTGTTTTATGGTTTTAAAAATTTTCCAATGAAGAAATTACCAGGTCGAGTCGCGGACTAGGTCACTCTCTTTAAGATATTTCACGGTATTGCTCAAAGTTACGCAAAGCAGTCACTCAACTACGACACCTCCATGATAAAATAGTTCAGTTCTATGTTGTACGATTACTACTTGAGCGATAGATAAGTCGGCCTAGAAATACGCCCTCCGATGATACAAAGACCATTTAAATATGGTATAAATATCACTCGTAGTATCTGGTATAAAAACCAGTTGAAATAATTTCTCAAACAAGGAGAAAATTCAAATAATTCTCCAAAGAGAGTTCAATAATGGCCATTTCATCACTCAAATTGATTTATCAAACATAGAGAATTCAAGTAATTCTCCAAAGAGAATACAAAAATAATGTTTAATAATTTCTCAACTTAAATGAGGAGAAATTAAAATAATTCTCTAAAAAAATTAAGAAAGTATTCAGAAAATTCAACAAGTAGAAAAAAATGGGAGAAGTTGACGTTCTGACAATTCGAAAGACACGAAGTTATGAGAGTGAGGAAGGAAAAACTCAATAGAAGTTTTTAGAGTATTTTGGAATGAAACAGGTGATTTTCTTATATAATGAAGGAATCTAGCCAAGATATCTAATCTAAATAACAT